GGCCACTCACGTGTCGCGTAATGGACGATCGGGTCCATCCGCGGGCACAACGTGGGCTGTATCCTCCTCCTCCCTCGAGTGGTGGCGTAACCAGAGGTGAAGTCCTCCGCCCTCTGGGTCGGCTGCGGTGGCAGGGGGGCATCCATGATGGCCGCCGCGGAGGAGTAGAGCCCAGGCATGTGGTCCAGTGGGAAGCGGTCCGGCTCCGGGTTCGACACCACCTCGTCCAGCGTGAGGAGGGAGCCGACCTCCGAAACCTCTCCGTCCTCACAGTCACCCCACTCCGCGGGCACGGGTGGAAGGTCGAGTGGGGCCCAGTCAGTCTCAGACTCCTCGTCCTGAGAGGACTCTGGACGGGGCGCTGCAGCGGCGAGGAACGCACGTCTGCGTTCGCTCTCCTCCCTGGGGAGAGCGAGACACGAGGTGCAGGTGGCGCTCAACGCCGCATGGCCCGGGCCCAGGCACATGAAGCAGCTGGAGTGCTGGTCCGTGCGCTGGAGCCTGACTCGACACGTCGAGCAACGACGACGTCCGACGCCGGAGGGCGAAGGGGAACTCGGACGAGCATCAGAAGACATTTCTCTGGAATGACGTAAGTACTGGTAGATCTCAATCGGCGCCAGAGTATAAGAGGGGGTGCGGCCTTGTGCAGGGGCCTTTATAGAGGAGAGTGGCTGGTGATTGGAGCAAATTATTTTGATCTCTCTGGCGCGTGAGCTGGGGGTCACGAGTGATATCCCACTAGCGAAGTCCTAAGGGACGTAGCACCATGACGTAGGATGGAGTACTCTTTTTGTTGCCAGAACAATGACTCATTGGCTGGACTGGTGAATGGCTTTGTGATCGGATAGAAATGTCAACACAGCAGATTGTACAAGTTAAACATGCACTAATGCACATAAGCAATGATTAGGATGTCGCACAGTATTGACTTGGATACGAGTGGTCGCAAAACCTTATATTTGTAATTATACCTTAAATTACAGTCGTGATTTCAATAGTTTTCACCTCAAAATAAAGCTAAAATTCAATATTAGGTGTTCTCAAAGATATCTGTCAGGAACCTAAAATATGCCTAAAAATAAGCCTCCGGCCCCCAGTGCTGAATAATATTTAAATTTACAGTCATTTGAAGCATCCAAACATGTTAACACCTTCATTTTACTTTTATTTATAATCCATTTCACGATAAATAGTTGGTATTTAACAGAAAAAAAGGGTTTCAAATTTTACATTGAAATCATCTGCCCTCCCTGGGGGTCCAACTCCGCACTTTGAGAACCACTCCTCTGTAATGTTTCTTTGAGGAGTCAGAAATCTCATCATACTGCTGTCTCTCACGCAACCAGACAACGTGATTCTGCCCTCTCATAAAGGATTGTAGTGTGCTCTTGTTGGAACATCACTTTTGCCAGTGCATTTTCGACCTGTAATCAGAATCTTCAACAAAGCGATGTATTTGAGGCTGTCTGCTCAGAGGAGTCACGATGTGCTCTTCACAAGACACTGCTGTATCTGGGCTTGTCTGACAGATTTGTTTTTGGCAGATTTTGAAAAAAGGCGTTGAAGCCACTAAGCCATAATCTCAGTGTTTTATAAAAAATTACTATATCTGAATTTAAACATCTTGACATTAGGCCGGTCATATTCGCCCAATGTTTGATAATTGATGAACGGTACAATCTATTTCAGGGCTCATTTTGTTAAGTCAGTACCCTTCCTTTGCCGTAATGGAACTATTTTTGCTATTTCCTTTCTAATTTTAGCCATAGATGAAAGCAGCCATACCCAAATTTTTCAGCAAAATCCCTCCCCAGTAAAATAAATAAAAAATTGCTACTCTATGGTGAAATGGTGTTATGTTTTTCTAAACTAGAAAGAAAAAATGAACTTAAATATGAATGATTTGATCTGCAAAAAGTGGTATTCGGGCAGTAATCTTAACCCCATGTTTTTGATTATGCTGATTTAATTCTCAATTGCTTGTTGTGTTTGCATTCTCTGGATTGCAACGTTCACATCTCCCAGGTCATGATGTGTAATTTTTTTTTTTTTTTTTCAAGAGCACCTTGCCACCGTGTAAACAGTGTGGGATGCAGTGGTGAGAGAAAGGAAGACATATATTTATACACTTGACAAATACAAGGAATACAGCTTTCTTTACTCTATATCTCAGGTTTGTTATTTTTCTTCCTGAAATATACAGTTGGTATCAATCAGATATTCTGATTATGTTTCAACAGTAATCCACTTTCTACTTCATTCTCTTCTATAAGGCTGCTGCTATAGATTATCTTAGTAATTGATTCTGTAATAACATTAACATAAATATAGGTTTTAGAAAAAAATTAGACTGTTATAGTTGTTTAAGATGTTTAGATGTTTTAGAAAATCTTGGCACAATATAAAGCTGTTGGGTGAGCTTGTGCGATTGGCATAAAAGTGGCGTTGGACACTATTTTCCAAAAAGACCTGCTGCGCCAAAAACCTTTTATGTCAGCCGCTACCATCAGAACATGTATCATTAAAGACAGTAGGCAGGTTTAGTCAGTTGTTCTGGGTCATACCTGGATTTGCAGCTGGGGCCCTAGGGAGTGGATGAGATCTGTCTTGACAATCCTTCGACATTACCTGTGGAATAGTCTTCCAGGGTAGTTTTCAAGAATGGATCATATACTTCAAGAGACTGGAGAGCAGACTTCGACTGATAGTTGAATCTCAGATTCAAGAGGAACAGTGGGGTTTTCGTCCCGGCCTTGGAACACTGGACCAGCTTGCCCAAAATGTCCATATGTGTTTTTTGGATCTGGAGAAGGCATTTGACCGTGATCCACTTTTGGGGTTCTCTGGGAGTATGGGGTCTGGGGTCCTTTGCTAAGGCCTAGTCAGACCTGTTCTCAATGCAAAGCTGCACTTTTTCACTGGTTGACACTAGTAATTGTTGATGAATTGGTTAGTGGTGTCTTAGTCAACGGAATTTAGAATGAGAAACTAATGGTTATATTTGCATTACAAGAGATTCTACTTAGAAACAGCAAAAAGATAGTGGTCATGGAAAAAGTTAGTTACAAAATTTATTATATTTTTTGATATGCAATGCAGAAAAAACAGATTACAAAACTTTTAATTGATTGAACATTATATTTAATCAGCCAAGACATTCTTTGGTTGACTGTTTAGTTATAAAAAATCTGATAAATTGAGGAAAAGGTTCAAGAGCAACGCAGATTTTTTATCTTCCTCCCACATCCAACCAATATATTATAGTTTCAGTGAAAAGACTTACTGGTAGTTTCAGAATAGTGTCTTAGCTCGTGCTAAGGTCTGGACTAACGCCTGCTTTAGGACACAGTAGCACCCGTAATGTTTACTGTTCAACGTATGACTCAAACTCTATTGTTGATACATACAAGTGGGTGTTCATCAGATGTTGTGAGTGGTAGATACAGAATAGAATAGAAAATAGGATCCACTTAAAAAGAATTAATAGTTTGTTCATGTCTTTTCCCTATTTAAATATATGTATTTGTCTTACTAAATGGCATTAGTCTAGCTCCAGTCATGGATCCAAGGATTTTATTCAGCAATTAAATCCCAGATCCATTTCACACACAGTGTTCTTATGGATGGCAAAAGTTATATGTTCTCACAACGTCTTCTTACCTCGTAACTGAGGACCATGAGAAAAATGTACAAAGAAAGATTGCCACAAACAAGATTTGCTAATCAAAGCAAATTATCACTCGGAAACAGCCTCGCATATCAAGCGTGAAATCAATCTTTACTGGTCTTTACAGGCCTTAGTACAAACAGATATGACATGAACAGGCTTAAAAGGTGTTTGTTCCTCTTTTCATGGCACACTCACACACACATATCTGCCCTGTCCCATGTGACAGATGGAAAGCCCCAACAACAGCTCTTTTGGCACCACACTGGAACAAATTTGGATGCAAACGGAGTGGCACTTAAATAAAAGCTTAATGTGAGCGGATAGTGGAGAAATCAATAAAGAATGATGCGGAAAATATTGACTATAACACGTTGGCTCTGTTCTCTGGCAGGAGAGCTTGTTGCATTTATAATTGACGAGGCACACTCAGCCCAGATGGACAAGACAGACTGACCTCTCAAAACCACATTAAACATGACCAACCAGAGCATAGTGTTAAAGGCTCTGTGAAAATTAATCATTTTTTATTGTCGTCATGTCTATTCTGCGTATTTGGACATGCAACATTATAATAGTACATTTGATTGTGTTTTTAACGCTACCAAGATATACAGTAGGTACAAGCAAATCAACACGCAGGCGCACATGTTCATTTGCTCACTAATAAAATTTAAAGTCACAATCTTAGAGTGTCTATGTAACTTTTATTCTGAAATATGGAAGCACGTTTTCTCACTTATGTCTTTAATGCTGAGTTCTAACTGAATCAACTGACTCAATCTTCCTTCTGCTTTTCCATGGCTGTAACCGATAAGAGCATGAGTATTGTGTATTTGCTTTTAGAGTATTGAAGAAGATGACAAAGTTTGGGATCGTGTCTTTAATTCAGACAGAAGACATGTTTTATTGTTGATGGTAGATGCACGATCACGAACAATAACAAAGGATTTTACAGACTGCAAATGATATTATACAGCATGGAGGAACGAACACCGTCCAATCAGCTTTTGCCGCGATGCCAGTAGCTTGGCCTTCAGAAATCAAAACATGCAGTGGAAAAGTACTGGCTTATGCATATGTTAGAAGGATGAGTTCATCTAAAAGTAGCATGCTGTGTTTGTGGTTATTGGTTATTGTTAGTGGGAACTTTTGGATACATTTACCCGAAAAAAGCAATCAATATGAAACAAGTATTGAATACATTCTGAATACGCATTTTGATTTAAATTGTGTTGAAGCTATTGTCTTGGTCCACACTAATGTTCCTGCTGTTTGCTATGTTAACAAAGATGTAACTGTCCCTCCTTTTATTTTGTGGTCTGTGCAGAAGCTCCATCTTCAGAGCTCAGAGAGAGGACCATTGTCTCAGGATGAGGAAAAGTCGGAGCGCACACGGGGTCATGCCAGCAGAGGTACTTGTTACTTTACCTACTTATCCATTTGTTTTGTTTAACTTGTTCATTTCAGTCATTTGGAGCATGTGGTAAAGTTGGGTGAGATATATTACTTTATTTACAACTAAGTCTAGTTAATCAAGCACTTTATATTCATCAGATCACTGGTGATTAGTGATTTTCAGGCTTGGTGTTGATTCTTTTGGCTGAGCATATTATTTCAGACAATTATTTTGACAATTATGAACTGGTTTTATATCGTTAACTGCATTTTTTAATATATAAAAAATATTATTTTTATTCATATTTAAAAGTCTAAACGATTATTTTACATAGAATCCTCTTAAATGTGATATCAGATGGTCAGCTTCACGGCAGCGTTAGAGTAACAGCATTGTAATTGTCAAAGATTTTTTGAGTCAATTAATCATTACAGCCTTAGTAAGTTCTGATGTTCAGCCTAAAGCACCTCTCACTAATGTTTGTTGTGCCTTTTTCAAAAAGCCGGGGCAGATTGATCTTTTGGAAAAGGCGGACAGCTGTAGCACGTCTTTGCACGTGTGACTGACTCAGAAACTGGTGACTAAGGGGCCCATGCAGAGAGCCACCCGTGTTGTTAGCTTCTGTGGGTTGCACTGCTTGTGCTCTGATCCTCAGGAGTTCAATTCCTGTTTCACTGTTTTTATAAATGCACATTATGCACATTAAATGTACAGAAAGGTCTAGTAGAGACACATGCTGCCTGTCCCTGGATCACTTTTGTCTAAAAAACAGAGTTAAGTAAAAAGACTAGCACAGCTCAGTGGCGCCCGCCTGTGCTTCATGGCAAGAAGGTTCTGAGTTTTATTAACCCTCCAGACTCGGCCTTTTTGTGTGAAGTTTGCATGTTCTCCCCGTGCCTACCTCCGGGTTCTCCTACCACTGAAAAACATGTACAATATACCCTCAGAGCCCGCTCTTGCCCCCTCGCAGAGACCAGGACCTCCCTGAAAAAGAGATTCTGAAATCTGAGTTTGAGAAAAAAATTATTTGTATTTCTTTCAATTATTTACACAGCCCAATAACAGCAAACATTTCATCTCTTTGTAGGTGGCAAAGCACTATATTGATGTTTTCACTACAGATACTTATGTACAGTATGTCATAGGTAGATGGTATTGTTTTTTGTTATTGATGTTGAGCATCCTGGCCATTTATTGTTAGTCAATGCAAATATTATCAATTACTGAAAAATTATACAAAATATATAATTAATAACTTGTATAGATCTGTATAACATGTTGACGATGCTTACATTATTGCTATAGTTGTGAATGACAGAAACGCTTAATTAGATTAGATAATTTGTTTTCAAACCTGCACAACACAGGTTCATTTTTACAGGTTGAAATGTCTCACATTTATACTTTTAATGCTGATGGTAATGTGAGACACATTACATTTTGATACAAATGTACAAATGTTTCTTGGCGTCACAATTTTATCGAAGATTTCCTCCATCTCCAGATTATAATTTTGTGACTCTTCACGTTCTTTTAGTTTGTGACCTAAGAATAAATCATACTTTGACATTGGAGCAATGTTTTAAATTGGAATTGAGTTTTTGTCTTTCTCTTGTTTAATGCACACAATACATACGCAGTAAACAGTGCGAGCCGTTCGGAACAAGCTCAATGAATCAATGCAGCTCTAGGATTACATGTCCGGAGTGAGAGGTGCAGTCGATGCACAAATACTTAACAGTCTGAAAATATGATAACAATAAATCCCCACCTTTCACCATGTGCCACTTGACAGGTCACTTCTGGTACCAGCTTCATTCAGGAATCACCATGAGTTGTGTTTTTCCACATTTAATTCTCACCCACTTTTGACAGAGAATGTGTCTTAAAGACAGAGTCAATAAATCAGACAAATTACATTTCCAAGAAGGAGAAGAGGAGTCAGCGGATTTCTGTTTACTGACAACAGTCTATAAGCAGCTCCTCCTTTCTGTCACTATATACTCTGCCCACATTTGTCCCTCTGTTTCTCAGAATTGATCTACGTATGTATGTTGCATTATTTATATATTTATGACAGAAAGCACCCATTAGATGTGAAACAAAACTTGTGTTTGTCCCTAATTAACCTGGTAAATATTTATTTATTTAAATCTTATAAAAAAGAAAAAGCTGTTTGATCACCTAACCCTAACCCTTCTCAGCAAGAAGGTCCTGGGTTCGAATCCTGGCTGGAACAGGTCCTTTCTGAGTGGAGTTGGCATGTTCTCCTGTAGGTTCTCTCCGGGTGCTCCAGTTTCCCCAACCACTAAAAAAATGCACAGTAGGTTAAATTGGGATTACTGTAATAAAGTGTACCTTTTATTGCCAGATGCCTAAATACATATGCATCATCTTTGAACTGTATACTCCTCATGGACACTGGGGCCACTTTCACATGTTTATAATTTGGTATTGGAATAGATCCTTAATCCATCCTTATTCCAACCAACAGAAATGTCAGTGTTGCATCGGTTACAAAACAATAAGAAGGAGGAGCACACAAACACAAAACAAGATAAGTATATACTGTAGGTATATCACAACTGTATTCTTGGAAAATGTGATAAAATCTTCATCTTTAGCTAATTGAACCTCAAAGTATAAAAAATGCATGAACATAGAAATCGAACCTTATTTTTTTAGTGTAACAAAGTAATACAATATTTCAAGTGAAGTAGTTCATATTTACTTATAAATCTATAAATAAATACTAGGGCTGTCAAACAATTAATTTTTTTAATCGAGTTAATTACAGCTTAAAAATTAATTAATCGTAATTAATCGCATTTCAAACTATTGGCAAAATTATGCCATATTTTTCTGTAAATGGTTGTTTGAATGGAAAGATAAATGACAGCTTAGTGAACATATGTACTGTATTTGTTTGTTTTAACAATAAATCCATATAAAATGGAATTAACATTATTAACATTCTGTCTTTCTGTTTAGACTCAGACCAAAACCATTGTTTGTTACAGATGAGGGACATTTCAAAATAGTCAGAAATGCAGAATGTCATAAAATCTGTTTGATTTGCTCACACCATTACTTTTTTTGGCACAACTAACATGAACTGGTAGTTGAATGGAAAATTAGGTACCTCAGCTTTAATTTAGCGAGTGCGCTTCGGGAGAAGACACGGAGGAGACTGAGGCTCCGCAGTCCAGCTTCAGCGCTGTACATATTGTGTGCATTGGTTACGCAAAGACACGTACGCACACTAGAGAAGGGTTCTGTAATAGTTCTGTGCGTGGTCTTGGATATGATCCCATTACGCAGCGCCGTTCACCGTGATCACAGCCGCTGGAAGTGGGAACTGCGGTCCAGAGCGCTGTCGCACCCGCAGCTCGTCATGCAGAGTTCATACAGGAAACAACAAGTGCCCCGCGGTCACGCGTGTATTCTTTCAAAACTTGAATTCCCAGAGGGCCTACCTGCTCTGTCCCCATCTTACACACGCGCATGTGTCCGCGGCATTCTGAGTGTTATTATGGGACGCATGGGCATGCGTCAAATGCGTTAATTTTTTTAACGCGATTAATGAAAAAAATTAATTAACGTGCGTTAACGCGATAATTTTGACAGCCCTAATAAATACACAAGAATGTTGTAGAGTAATTTGCTCTGTGGTTTCAAATAATGACAGTGATAATACTAGCGTACACAAAGTGACAGTGGACACATGTGGTCCCGTAATGCACATTGTGACAGATTATTGCACAGATGCAATATACTTCTGAGCATAATTGCACTTTTTTTCTATTTATTCAACTGTTTATTATATTGTTATTCGCCGATTTCATATTATTCTTTTCCCCCCGAAGCAATTCAATTTTTGACCCTGAAGACATGCACGAAAGTCTGCACATGGGGGGTCTAAAGAAACTAGTTCGGCAAAAAATTTGTTATAACGGACGTTTCGAGATTGTCCGACAAAGGGCGAATCAATAGCGCCCCCTTGAAAATTCAAAATTTGCTATTTCTATTGGAGCCAGGAATGCATATTTTGGAGTAGGTACACGAAATTCGGAGGATTGATAGATTTCTATGAGACAAGCAAAAAAGCCGGTCTAAGCACATGTCTTGATGGGCTGAAGTTTTGCCACCAATTTGACTTTTCATTTTTTACTTCGAACTAGTCCCTGGTTTATCATCACACAGAGTTCTACCACGTCATTTCCCAATCTGGGAAGTTATACAATCATTAATAAAAAGTTAGAAATTCTTTACCGTTTTCGTCCCTCGCCTTGGCAAATAAGGCCTTCGTTTTGGCCATTGTCGCTGAGCCCTGAGGGCCACAGGCTCAGACCTACAGAGCTGAGACTCACATCAGTAATATTAGGTAATGGCCTGAACGCAATGACACTAAAATCATTCGCCCAGTATGAGCTCTTTAGCGCCATTTGTCGGAAAGTAATATGGCACTAGTGCTCGGATCGGCCCGAAAATTGATAAGTGTAATCTCTGGACCGAGACGAGCAAAAAATTACATTACGCAAAAGTTGTAAGTTCCACACCTGACCACTGGGGGCGCCACAAAATCTGTGAATGAGCTTTTTGGGGAAGAAATATTTGTCCGATGAGGCTAAAAATGAATTCACAAATACAGCGTATGACTCTGAACACAACGATATGCAACACACGACTGTGATTGCAGCAACGCCACCAAGAGGTAGTTCAGAGTTTATCATCATACAGAGTTCTACCATGTCATTTCCCAATCCGGACAGGTTGAAGTTATACAACCATTAATAAAAAGTTAGAAATTCTTCACCGTTTTCGTCCCTCGCCATGGCGAATAAGGCCTTCGTTTTGGGGGTTTTCACTGAGCGCTGAGGGCCACAGGCTCAGACCTACAGAGCTGAGACTCACATCAGTAGTATTAGGTTATGGCCTGAACACAGTGACACTATTTATTTGCCCAATATGAGCTCTTTAGCGCCACCTGTTGGAAAGTAAAAGGGCACTAGGGCTCGGATCGGCCTGATAATCGCTGAGTGTCATTTCTGGACCGAGACGAGCAAAACATTACACTACACAAAAGTTGTACATCCCGCACCTGAACATTGGGGGCGCCGCAAAGTGAATGAATTGAGCTTTTTGGGGCAAAATGTTTGTCCGATGAGGCTAGAAATTAATTCACAAATACAGCGTATGACTTTGAACACAATAATATGCAACACACAACTCTGAGTGCAATAGCGCCACGTACAGGCAGTTCAATGTGTTGTGTTTATGGATTTTCATCATACAGACTTCTACCATGTCAATTCTCAATCTGGATGGATTGAAGTTGTGCAATCATCTCAAAAAAGTTCGAAATACATCACTGTTTGCATGCCAGTAAGCATTTAATTTCATATGGTTATATATAGAGCCGCAATACCCAACCTGACCACCAGTGGCACACCTCTTCAATAAGGACGTATATGCTAAAACTTTCTGCAGGTTCATCCCACTGATAGTGTAGTGGTTAAAGCTTTGGACTGGGACGCTAGCAACTGGAGTTCGATCCCCAGGTTCAGACTCTATTGTGTTAGGGTTAGTTTGTTGAAGATTGTTCATCCCTGTATAAATAAAGTAAAATATTGTTTAATCTTTTTCTCTGAGGTCATTGTGATTCCACTCTGGGCCACACTGCACTTTCTCTTTCACTCTCATCAAATACTCAAGAGTCGCAAACAAATAAGTTCTTGTTTTGGTGAAGTGGTATTCCAGGAATCCCTTGGCCCCCCTCCACCCTCTGCCTCTGAGCTGAAGCTTTATTGAATTGGAGATGTAGGCGCATGTTTCATTTACTCTTGCATGCGGCAAACATAAAGTGGCTGGTGATGTATGCACAATGAGCTCTGGCTTGTTTACAGCCATTCAATGGAGCAGGCACTTCATGCCCTTTTTACGAGAACCTTCACACTCAAGTTAAGCCGACAATTTATATTCAGAGAGGCTTTGTTAAATGTCAGTTAGTGGCTTTGATATTAGAGGACTCTGATAAAACTGCTAATCCTAGATTGTCTTGTTATTGTCTCTGCATCACAAGGCAAAACCTTTCACTCAGGGACGTGACAAATAAATGAGTCATTATTTCAGGTGTCATCAATTTGCTAAATCCATTCTAATGCAGTTTATATAAGTTTTTTGACACACATTCACTTTTTTGCTGTTTGAGTCTACACTTGAGTAGTACTTTGATCAACACTGTAGCTGTAATAACCCTCTTGCTTAACCCAATCAGTGTTCTCAGATGCCCTCCTTTATTTTGTTCATGAAAATATATATCAAAAGATATTCTTATCAGAATCAGATTTTTTTTATTGCCATGTGAGCAACAAGAAGTCACAATCTAGGAAATGGCTTTGGCTCTCGGTGCAAACAAGTCAAAGAAGGGAATGCAAGGCAAGGCAAGGCAAGTTTATTTGTATAGCACAATTTATACACAAGGCAATTCAAAGTGCTGAACAAAACAAGAAAGCATTAAAATCATAAATAATCACAGAACATTAAAAAGAAAGATAAAAATATAAAATCCCTCAGTTGTATGCACAGCTAAACAGAACCGTTTTTAACCTGGTTTTAAACATTGTTAGAGAGGAGGCCTGTCTCACATCTTCAGGAAGATTGTTCCAGATTTTAGCAGCATGAATCTGAAAAGCAGCCTCCCCATGTTTAGTTCTGACTCTGGACACTAACAGGAGTCCAGTCCCTGTGCTCCTCAGAGTCCGGGCTGGTTCATATGGGACTAACATGTCACTAATATATTTTGGTGCGAGGCCATGGAGAGATTTGTACACAAGCAGAGCTGTTTTAATGTCTATTCTCTGAGCCACAGGAAGCCAGTGCAGAGACCTGAGGACCGGACTAATGTGGTCGTACTTCCTGGTTCTAGTCAGGACTCGAGCTGCTGCATTTTGAATGTACTGCAGCTGTTTTACAGCCTGTTTGGACAGACCTGTGAGCAGGCCATTGCAGTAGTCTAACCTACTGGAGACAAATGCATGGATAAGAATCTCCAAGTCTGCTTTAGACACTATGTTTTTGATCCTGGCAATATTTTTTAGATGGTAAAAAGCTGCTGATGTTACTGATTTGATGTGGCTATTAAAATGCATGGAAGGCATGCATAAAAAATAAATTACTTAAATTTCTTACATTACTACTATATACAAGTGCAATAGGTGCACACAACAGACCTAGTCAAAATACATTCATAATAGCACATGCAAATGATGAACTTTAAACAAACTTTCTACAGACACTTGATTCTTTGTTTCTCTGTTTTTGTACAAACATTTACTTTCTCTACGGTCAAGATGGGGCCGTTTGAGACGTAGGAGTATATCTATCAACCCAGGAGCTAAATTGTGTGTGCAAATTAAACAGCTTTTACAATTTTAGTGCTTTAATTCTATGTCTGCGTTTTCTCTAATGTGCATATATTTTTCACACACACAAACACGTGATAAGAGTGCCTCTTGATGTGGCCCAGCTTCACCCAGACCTAACCTTATGCGGCTCCCAGATGAATAGAGTTTGAGACCCCTGCCTTATCCCCTACTTCTATTTTAATGAAGTATATCAAATGAAGATAATACGTAAATAGCGTTATTATCTCAAAAGAATAATTGATTGTCAAAATAATGCTACACATTGCTTATTCCCAGCAACATGTAACAATAGGTTTGTCTTTGTTGGGTCTTGGACATGTTTTCACCAAACACTCTTGTCTTTATGCATAATACTATGAAACAATACAAATATGTGCATATATTCCTCTTGGTTGACAGGATAGTAGGGAGCAGCCTCTCGGGCCGGTCCCCAGCGGCAGCACCCTCAGTGTGGATCTGTATAAAGTCCACCGGCGTTTCTCTGGGAACTTGCAGCTTCCCCCGTTGTCCTGGCGACAGGCAGAGAAGGAACGAGACCGGGGACGACCCCTGAGCCCTGAGGAGGACGCAGTGACCCGGAACAGACCCACCACGCTGCCCATCGCCTCCCTGCCTCGGATCGACATCACACACGCCGACCCAGACAGGTAACTTAACTCTTCCTCACACGAAGGCTCACTGCAGAGTGACAGCTCTGTCTGACCTCAAGAACAAACGGTGATAGTTAGCACTAAATTAAACATTAAACATAAATTTAAAGGCAGTTATGTTACTACTGGCTCTGCTCCCAAGTAAGACATAAATGAAAAAAAACATAGCCACAGGCCTGTCTGAATTTAAGGCTGCACAAAAGTGGTCAAACAAATCATGTGGCTTCATCTGAGTTTTAGACGGTTCTTTTAATAAGACAAAGAGCTGTGTTTTTTGGAGAAGTGAGTCCAAGTGTGAGGCAACAGAAGGCCCCTGTGCTGTCAGACTGACCATGTCCGGTAACACACGCCTCGTGTCATCGCTAACAAAGGTGAAGTCTATTCCCAAAAATGTGAGGTTATTAAGCAAAGAGTTTAGAGAAGTAGAAGCTTCTTTACACTCTTTCTCCTAAGAACTATGTAAGCCTCAAACATAAATAAGACATAATGAATTTTCAATATTTGGCTTCATCTTGGAACATAATGATATAATATAATATTGATTTAACCTCTTAAATGTTTTAGGAATCGTAAATATTTAATTACAATAGACTTGTAATCTATCTACATACAAAAGAGACAATAGATTGTTTCTTCATGTCATAGTGTTTATCCAGAGATACTGCTGTGACTTTTAGACAAACCTGAGTCTACAATAAGAGACCAGGCCAAATCCAGTCGGAGGAAACAAAACAGATGACATATAAACATTTATATGTTTGAATAGTTCTTATTGACGGTGTGTATGTAAAGTCGTTCAGTGGAGGGGCAGGGGGAGGATGCACTCACTAATCTGCAACTCTGGGTTTAATACAGCGCAGGCGCTCAGATAAACAGTCCAGCTCGTGTGGATCCTGACCAGAGCCGTCTCACGTCATCTGCCAAAAGGAAATATTTCCGCATGTGACCCATTATTAAATCTATCTTTTTGTATCAAGAGCAGTCTTAGTTCTGTACTTGGACCATGCGCAGGTCTTCTAGATGCAGATTGGGACATTTTGACTTCAGTGAAGAAGTGGTGACTAGCGTGCTTGTCTCAGCTCCCAGGTGACTAATGCTGTCATTTTTTACATGTTTGACTGACTATAATGACACATAGTCAACACGAGGAAATTGTAGGAATAAACTAAATTAGCTCAAGTTAATGTATTATGACACACACTATTTTATACATTTATCTTGTTTTGGCTTGTAAACTGCATCCTGCAACAGACTGAAATTGTGCGTCACTAACAGACCATAACTGTGTGCAGATTAAGTGATTATGTTGTGGCTTTAACGCATTTTTCTGTTGTCTTTTTAGTGACGCAAAAAAAAGTTCATGTGACGTTCATTGTGACAATGTGTGTAATTTTGATAATCTGTGTATTACTGGTTGGATTGGACTGAGGACTGAGGCCAAGTTATTATATTAGGCAGAAATCTGAAATTATAATTAACAAATATACCGTAAAGACCTAATCTGAATAGTACTTAACAGTTTGTGATGAGTGTTTTGTGGCTTCAGGGCATCTGTTTTCACAGCCGCGTTCACACATTGATCTTTCACCTCGTCATCTGCTGCGCTTGTCAGCTCTCTGCCGCTAGAATATGACAGATTAATGCCTCCTTAACCCAGTGGAACTGATTCACTATGTTTGCATTACATTCACACATGATGGTCTCCCAGATTAACCCAAGCTGGACCTATTTTCATCGCTGTCTGGTCTTTCGCGTAGCATAGTTCATAAACATAGTGTCTACCTATAAACGGCATAACTTTATCACATAATTCTCAGTGATGAATCAATGTGGACTGTTTTATCAACACAACACATAAAGATATAAATTGTAACAACGTAATGCAATTAAGAATAATCTAATGTGGTTGGCTAGCTATGGTTGTTTATAGATAGTACTTTGGGAACCATTATATAAACGTGCTGTATAAATGAAGTGGATTTGGATTTGACATTTTCAAACATAGCATCAACTATGGCTCTGGCTTTAATCCCGTGCCACTCGCTGCGGTTGACAAAAAATAGCCTCTCCCTTATTTTCATCAGCACCAGCCCACATTTTATATTTGAAACCTTTTGTCATTTGGACCAGCGACACATGGCTGAATAATTATTTCAGACACAGGGGATTTATGAACACGATGCAAAACCACTCACTGTAATGAACACATGATTTAAAGACTGAAATGTTTCGTTTATGGCAGTTTTGATGGTGAGAATGGCCCGTCGCTGTGCTGCAGTCCCTCTGATCCGCAAGCCTCGCCGGGGTCCAGTCTGGTTCTACATCCAAACTCCGCCTGTCACGGCCAGCGCAGAGAGTCCTTCTTGTACCGCTCTGACAGTGACTACGAGCTCTCTCCAAAATCCTTGTCCAGAAACTCCTCCATTGTGGGCGAACTGTGAGTCTACTACTGCATACATTTTAGTATTTGAGGATGGGACAAGATACACATGTGGTCTAGTTCACTTGTGGAAAAGATGCTTCACAAATGCTTTTCAAGATTCAAGAATTTATTTGCCATTTGCAGTAAAACCACCTCGGAAAAACTGTGCAGGACTACCCTGTGTGCCCCCAGACAAAGAAGATAGTACACACCAGCGCTCCTGCCACGGTTTTGTCAGATCTGTTTTAAAAAGATGCTTTCTGACTTAAATGACAAGTGGACACGTGTTCAATTGTGTGGTGGTATTACGTACAATTATTTTGCCGATAGTGAACGAGAATTCCTCCAGTTAAAGTGAGCCAAGGAGTGTAAAATCCAGTCGAAAAAATTGACAATAAGTACAAAATACTTCTTGTAATAAAACAAATGTGAGGCAAAAATATGAGACTGACCTATCCTTTTCCTTCAAAGCATAATTCTGAATCTTCTCATGGTGTATTTCATTTTTTAAATATACGTACAAATATTATTTCCGACACAGTCCCATCATATTCAGTAAGTAAATTTAAACAATAATATATTTTAAACAGCTACTTCAATTTGCATCACTACCAGTAAGATTTGCTGGAGGAGAACAGTTTAACCAATGACGAGTGACCTCAAGCATTTTAAATAATTTTGTCCAATCAGGAGCGACACTGTCTTAGTTGGTAGTGCATTGGCCTTTGAGCCTGAAGGCCGTGGGTCTGATTCCCCCACAAGCTCCCACTAATGTATGCTGCCATTGCGTCTTTTGGCAAGAAACTTAACCCCACTATGCCTGAACCTCTTCTGAACGATCAAGGCTATGTTGTCACCGACAGAGAAGCCACCTGCAGCAGGATCAGTGAGGGGCTGGTGCTCTGTGAATTCCCAGAAATGGATTAACGGGTAGAAAATGAATGGATGTGTAATCAGGAAGCTGAGGTGGTAAACAAGGGCAGAAGTTTCACTCTCTTATCTCCATTTGAAAATGACCTGGCATTCACTTTAAGTCTTGTGGGCATTGTGTCTTGTCCCATCCCAATGATTACACGGTTATTTTGCTTTAAATAACAAAACTATTATTTTTATCAGGCACACGGAAGACTTGATAGTAACTCCCTTCGCTCAGGTAAGTTACTTTCCTTAAATGTGTGTAGTTAAATATTTGTTTATTTGTACACATTCTTTATTCTATATAGAAAGAAGCAGCACCTTCAAGTGGTCAATATGGCTCATTACAATCATCACCCTAACTTCTTCCTCCTTTGGATCTATAAACAAATAAAAAGGGAATAGGTCCGTTCCCGTTTGTGGTTTCTATGGCTCATCATGACAATAACAGTGACCCTTAGTTGAGGTAGAGATATAAATAAAACATATATACATTTCAGACTTGATTAGAATTGCATGTAGCTAAAATGTCACAATAAACCTACAATTAAAATCTATCATAAACTAAATTACAATTGAACCCACCAAAACACTTTTAAATGCATGATAAAAATGTTATATTCATACAGGTTGTTTCTGATTACATTTCTCAATTCTAATGTTTAGGTACTAGCAAGTCTCCGAACCGTCAGAAACAACTTCACCACCCTGACGAATGTGCAGTGTGCCTCCAGCAAGTGAGTAGTACCAGTTTGACACTATTAAAACACAAGTAGCAGCTGTGTGTAGAGCGCATATCTGTCCAGACAAGTCTTTTGAGATGAAAAAATTACTATAATATGTTTTCATTGTTGATCATTTCTATCTAGAACAGGCAACTGAAAGACCAAATTGGGCAAATAGGTTTCATTTCCATCATGATTCAAGATGCATGCCAGTATGGTCAGACAAATGCACCTGAATAGGCTTTTATTTTTATTTTTCCTTTACTCCAATGCCATTTCACACAATCTTTAAGATAAGATAAGATAAGATGAATCTTTATTAGTCTCACAGTGGAGAAATGTCAGTGTCATCGTTGCGCACATTACAGCAGAGAGAGGAAATAAGAGCACTCAGATTGCACACATCAAATAGTCTATTATTTAAGATAATAGACATTAAAATTGATATAAGAATAAAATAAAATGAGATAAACTCTGGGCTATGATTGCACTTGGTTCGGAAGTATTTACAGATGTCCATATTATACATTAGCCGTGGAGAACATGAGAATATGAATATGAGCAGAATAAACATCAGAAATACTATCAACAGGTAAAGTGACTTGAATGGGAGAATTATCAGATGGATATGAATAATACAGTAACATATCAACAGGTAAAGTGACTGGTGAAAGGCAGAAATGTCAGGTATGTAATAATGCAGTAGTACTGATAACAGGTAAAGTGACAAAGTTACTAGTGTATTATCAGTGACTGAATAGCAGTTCCTGTTACACATTCTCGTTGTACAGTCTGACAGCAGCAGGAAGGAAAGACCTATGAAACCTCTCCTTCACACAGCGAAGAAATAAAGCAGTAAGAAATATGTATTAAAGGCACACATGTACAAACGCTTTTCTCTCTTAAATCCAACCAGGAAAGTAGAAGGAACTTTCTACTGTATGGCACCTTTGCCAGAACCACCCAGACAGACATGGGAATATCATAAACTTTGTTTTTTTTGCTATATTATGAGAATAATCTCAAAATATTATGAGAGTGAAGTATTGTACATACCAGACGCCTTTTCCAGAGTTCACAGCAGAAGCAGAAAATGTCACTCAAGATGGTTTTATGGTTTCATATACTGTAAAACTGATGAACCAATTCAATAGTGGTGTTATTTGTTATGAACCGTGTGTGCGTTTGTGCGCTGTGGTTTATCAGTCGCAGATGAAGGAACGCAGATTTATACAATGACTTTCCTCAAGCAGCTCCTTCACCTGCGGCTGGGACAGAGCATGTGCGTGCACAGATGCGGTTTCAGAGTGTGAGAGTAAAGGAAAAGAGTAAATGCATTGAGAGGTTCGATGAACTCTCAACGGGGAAGCGCTTTGTGCATTTGTGATTACATGTCAGCATCTTTTTTTTATTTATGTGAAAAGATTATGACTTTATTCTTGTAGTACTTTATGAGAAAAAATAAGAAAATAAAGTCGAATTGTTAAGAGATTTTCTGACACTTCATGGACACTTCAACTTTATCCTCATAATATTTCGAGTAATTTTCAACTTTAATCTCAAAGTGTCTGGGTGAGCCATATTCTCCATCTTACACATCAAAGTGATAACAATGAATTAAGTATGCAGTCCATACTTAAACACTGTGTGTGTCTTGAACAGAAAGAATAAAGGGGCAGGCAATATTGTTTCCTCTTTCTGCTCCTTTTCAATCGTGAGGCTGGACTAAAAATGTTTTGAATGTTATGTGTCCTATGAATGTATGTTATGTAACACTATTTTACTGGCCAAAATTCAAATGATTAAATGGGTAATAATTTTAATATGCAAATAAGATCAACACTAATCAGATATGTGTGCTCATACATATAGTCAAATTAATATAAAAGAGAAGAGAAAAGAGAACAGGCCTGCTTTGTGCTTGGAGTTAAGAAAAAGCCTATGGCATATTTGTTGAGCTCTAATACATTTTTAAGAAACTTTGAATACAACTTTCTCACTAAAATAATAAGCCTATTGTAGAGAGTGAGAAAGTGGTTTTTCACTTTTTTTCCCCACTGAGTTGTTGTGAGTTTTCCCTTGCCGATGCAGGAGGGTCTGTTGGGCAGTTAGTGTCCAACTAGAAGGACACTTTAACATTCTACAACATGTATGGACATTTATTGACCTTCATGGACATTGGTCTCTCCCTATGGACCAATACATGTGTGTATATTTTGTGTCTTAACTGTTGATTCTCTGATCTGTGTTGGTGATTTCAATGGTTTTGTTAAGTCCTCTGAGATAACTGCTGTTGTGATTAAGGACTATACAAGAATAAGTTGTTGTTGTAGATGTCTGGCTGTATTAGCACACATCTTGAATTTATGAGATTAAAACATATTTGCTCAACTAGGATTTTTTTATGTTCACCTCATAGAAATGATTCATGGTGATATACATATTATTGCAATGTATAATTTTTTGGGCCAAACATCTGTTTGGACACTTTTTGATAAGGCTTACGCTTGAGAAGGTGGTATTTTAAAAAGTTAATTTTTAAGTCCTATCTGTAATAAACCAACTTAGCAGCTTGCAGTGAAGTTTGAGCAGGGAAGTGGAGGCTGCTTTAACAACATTCTCCACATGAGGGCGTCAAATGATTAATGCAAATCAGTTGCTTTCATCTAACATTTTGAAGCTTACGAGGAATTCATTTAGTGACTGATATGTTGTTGTGTTTGTGAGATTAAGTTATTGTATGTGGGATGAAAAAAGATAAAAAACTCTAATCTGGTTAAAAGGCCTTTCCTACAATATCTAGGTCAGGGCAGAGTAGACTATTCCCAAAAGTGAGTGCTGTTGCTTCAAAATGTAAAAAATAAATAAAATAACGCAAATAAAAGAGGCTTAAAAAGGGTCATAAATTATGTTGAGACAAAACACAAATAGGCAAAAAGGTATACAATTATTTGGAACAATTTGAGTGTGTCCAAAATTACCATAAATTCTTATTTTTAATGTAATAAATTTGTAAAAAGAATACTGTGACAGCATGAGGAACATACTGTATTTATATTGAAATATGTAAACTCATTTTAGTTCATGTGAATGATTCCAACTCAGACTTCACTACAAGTTGTTTCTCTTTTTTCCACTGGTTTTGGGGATGTTCAGAAGAAGAAAGTCTAAGAACGGCAGGGGCTTCTGGACATTTATCCGTTTGCTTAATTCCTGTGACCATTTATCTGTAACCAATTAATGTTTCTTTTATTCAGGAGGTCTCCAGCTGCGAGCCAGCCCTCTCTCACCAAAGTGTGTCTATCAGGTAGGTAAGTTTCAAAAAGGTCATAGCCCAAACATTTAGAATAGAGAAAAATGTGTAATTAATTGTGAGTTTACTATGACATTGCTGCAATTAATCACAATTAAATACAGAACTAAATTAAATCTATCTACATGGTTTCTCACTCTCAAAACAGTTTAGTATAATTAATAGTCAGGGCAGAGCCAGAGTTGCTGAATCATAAAATAGTTGTTAAATTTGAGAAATTGTGGCATTATATTTTAAAATCCTAATTAAAATAATAATGGTTGTTGAGTTATTTTTTATTCTTAGTTACATCAAATCGCATTTGTGTTTTATTGCAAACACAAATGTTTGTAATGATTACATTTTCCATAAAGTGTATTTTTATTTAAAAGGTAAGAAATTTGGCCTCATCGAACCTGGAGCCAGTTTGTCATAGTTTTCACCATTGGTCTCTGTCTCGGGCTTTTCCTTGTTTGCAAAAGACACAATATTTTCTAATAAGATGAATACAGCATGTTGTGGTACATATTCACAAAATGATACTTTTTTGAGACAAAATTAAATGTATTTTTTATTAGGGGCGGGAGGTTGAGCACTAAATCTTGATACGAGTCTGTAGAATCAAGATAAAAATGCAGCAGCAGATTCTTAGAATGCACTTGTATTTTGTTGTTGCATAAACCAACTGCTGCAATAACTGCACTCAATAAATTGGTTGCCCATAATTAAACTGAGGGTTTGTTACAGTTTGTAGTTTGTGTAGTATTGGGGTAGTAGTCACTGTTTGCAAATCTGTCCTCACTTTGAAACCACACAAAATTAACTGTAATAAAATTCATGAACCTAGTTCTTTACTTTCAAAACTTCTTCGTTCCATCATTAATTTTCACATACATTTATTTATAGAGGACTTAGCCAATCAGCTCTCAGTATGTCAAAGAATGTCAAAGATAACATGTTTTCTGATTGTGGTCAGCATGTTGTGGTCTTATTTGTTCACAACATACAAGAAACTTTCTACTGGGACAAACAAAAGGTATTTATGAAACAAACAAAAAAGTTAGATACTCCATCTTAAAAAATTTCTTTGGTAAATTAACACCATGTGAAATGTGACTGGCAGCTTAAGCTTAGTTAAACATGTCCAGCGTTAGATCAAGGGGAAATGCAGAAGATGAGCAGTTATGATTGGTTCCTGATGCTCTGGTGCCTCAGTGGTGGATTGACGTCAGTGCGGCTTGAACACACTTCCTATCAGCACAGATGGACGGTAGACTGGGCCAACAGCAGGAAAAAATACAAGTCACCGACAGACTCATATTGTGCATCCTCCTCCTCCTCTTCTCACAAACCTTGACCTTTCTCAAGTAATCACAAACTCCTTACTCTCCCCCTGGCCTTCTTTGTGACGCATGCAGGGGATGGTCAGCAAAAACTGTGCGATTGAACGTTTGGACGTAACATGATGCCGTTTTATTTCAAGGTCTTTACGTTTTAAGAACGCCGCTAACAACTGCAGACGTCAGCGAGTGCACAAAGATTGTTGTTCAGCGGGACCGTCATTGCTTGAGCCAGAAAGGAGAGCAGATTTTTCCTGTTTTCAGTCTCAGATTTTATGGAGGAAATGCCATCAATACAGGAAAACACATTACGTATCTTTAGGGGCCTTAGACATATCACACCTGTTTCAACTTGAGCAATTTGTTAAATTATTGTGAAAAGAATGATTTGATTTCCCAGACAGGTGCGTAGGAGAATGCATGTGTAACCCTCCACACTATATTTTCTACTATTTTGAAGAACTTGCAGAGAATCTAAAAGATAATTTATTAGATCTGTTTATAACCCGCACTTTGGAAACCGCTGCTCTACGACTACTTCACATCAGGTCTGTGAAGATGCAAGCCCAATGCTTAATGGAAAACAGATATGCATGGATTTATACTTTTTTAGTACCAGATGAAATATCAAAATGCATTAACTTACTGCGAAACCTTCTCCACGGACTCCAGTGATATCTGCTGTCGTTGTGTCCTTGGGCAAGACACAAGACAGATATAGGACATAATAAAAATGCTCTGTTTATGAAATTGGTATAGAGTATAACACTAACCACTAGTTTCTGGTACCTAATACAATATAAGGCAATAGCCAGGATTAAAGCAGAGCAGAACAGAAAATGTGACTAGAAAAATCCAAGTCCGGCAGAAACTAAAAAGAGGTTATCTTAAAGATCAGCTCAGCCCAAACTGCGTCACTGTGGCTTGTTTTTGCTGTTACAGATCTTTCTGTAGTAGCGTGATGGGATTGTAGTTTTTTCATGTGAGTTTGCTCTTAAAAATCTTTACAAATCACTGTGGCCGAATCAACAAGGTCTGAACAAAGGGCTTGCTCTGCTCAAGATTACAGAGCTCTCTATCACGTTTGATAAACTCTGCCAGCGCATGACGCTAAGCATCAAGCACTGGGAAATAATCTGTTAGATTTGAATATCTTTCAAAAACTGGGCCCTCAAGGTTAGTAGTGGTTCGAGAGCGCTCAACAAGGCTGGGAAATCTCACGTTTGTGTTTTAGGGAGTCAATGTTTGCACAAAAGTAGGTTGCAACCCTAACCCTGTGTGAAAGCTTTATACAAATCATAATTCTAACCTATCATATTTTACTTTCAACAGTTCTTCTAATTACACTAAAACTGAACAAAGTATTGACATAAATGGTATGTTGCAGTCCAAAGTTAAGGAAAAGAGCGATAAAGGTAATAATGGCCAAAACGTTGTTGAATAAATACATAATATTTTTGAGTGTACAGTTTCTTGTTTTTAAAATCGTTCTTCTTGCATTTGTTCCTCATCAAGAGCTTTTTGGTGTGCAATACTAATCTGCTTGAAATGGATCAGCAAAAACACAATAAAAGTAACACAAACAACATCACTATGTGCAGGAAATGAAATCACATGTTGCTACTATCACTTATACTGTTGCTCGTTGTAGCTAAATCTCACACTGCAACAGAAACCTGTTTGAATTACGGTACGTGGCCTGTACAGTCAGTCCGTATTTGTGCTTTAGACAGTGCAGCTGTTGTGGACTTTTACATTGTGTTTAGTTCCATGTGACTAAACTGTGTGCGTAAACTGGACCTCTGCACAAAGAGCATTACTCATTCATCTTTTGTCTCTTATTGTAAACTTGAGTGAGCAGACACGTGAGTAGCATTGAAACACTCCTGTACGAGGAAGTTACAGGCGAAAGACTCATATCAGATTTATGGTGAATCAGGGAGGTGGAGATAGATGAGAAATCAGATGCATTTCAAAGTATATAATGTCATGAATTACATATTTTTGCATGTGTTAATAAGCATATTTTATTGTAATTGCTTGAAATATAAACCCTAATTCATTTTTGCCCTTCTGGGTATAACATAGAAACCATAATAAATGTCTATGTAGCTAGTTTCTTGCTCTCAGAATGTATTGTATGTATGTATTTTAGTCCTCTGCCACATCTTGATATCAGTTTTTAAGATGAAGGAAGCGTGTTGTGTTTTGATTTGTTCACAAAATGTTGCTCAAACAAGATTTTCTCCTTTGACAAATACAAAATAATAATATTCATGAACCGAAAAAAGTTAGGCGCTCCAGCAAGTAATCTCATTTTACCTTTTATATGTTGATATTGGACCTAAAATTCTTATCTTTTTATGCACAAAAATAAAGGCAATAGTTAAATGTTTTTCAATTGAGATGATGAGACTTGGAAGACAGTTTCAATCTAAAAAAAAATCGAAGAAGCTAGAGTTTCTACTGCCCTTAGGGAAGAGGAAATCATACCCTCTTGTTTACTTGCTCTTAACATGTTTACTTGCCCTGGACACTTGCTGACTAGTTGAACCTTTTCAATGATTGCTGGCCAATAGAATGTTGCTTGTGAAGTAGAAATAAAATTCAAACTATAACATACTTACGTTTAAAGTAACCAAACTATCAGTAACAATACAGACAGCATATCAAAATCCCATTTAAACTGTTCTTTTTGGCTGAATTCACCGCACAGTGCGCACAGCAGGAGTCCATGTCAGGTTTTCCAGACTTTTCTCCAGCAGCGACGCTCCGGAGAGCTGGAAGCATGCAGCATGGTTAACTATTTGAATTATGTCATTGACGTCAGCAGAGTCATAAAGCTCAGAGCCGCCCAGCCCTGGAGCCGCTCTGTGCCAAGTCCGCTCCATGGTGCTTTGTGCTGGGGCTGTCAGACTGGCCCGGCTGGGTGTGTGTTTATGTGCAGCTGCATCTGCGGAGGCTTACCGTAGATGAGAGTAGATTAGGCCCGCTTGTAAACTGAAGGAGGGAAAAAATCAGTACGGGTGCTTTGTCAGAAGAGACAAAAGACTGTAGTTTCTGCTGTGAATTTGTCAACAGATACTCACTGGATTACTTAAAGGTATATAGAAGGATTTTCATAAATGTTAGGAAAGAGCGACCCTCTGCACGTTTTGAGCAAAACTCTCTGATCTTATTTCATGATCATGTATCCACAGGATGATTGACAATTAGGGAGACCAATAGTCTTGATGATCCACCCGGAAGTAGAAAATCCTCCTATATACCTTTAATGAAACAGTCGTAATAAGGCTAATCTCTCACACATTGAGAGACTCCAGTAAATCATGTTTGTTACAGTGTCTGCAAACCCTATTTGTATTTTTGTCAAGTTCGATGGAGCACAGAAGTACCACTCTAATAAACTATTAATAAATTAACATTGTATCTTTATTATTTGGTGAATAATAGTTACGCCCCCTTCAAGCAGGTTAAAGTATAGAGATGTGTAGCCTGTAGGCAAATAGAATATGTTGAGAAAGTCCAAGAGCTTGAAGGACATAAAATGGTGAACCTCAATGATAAACCTGTTTCTGTGAGGGCCTTTTTAGATGAATGCACCTTGGTCCGGGTCGGGAGCCGTGCTGGTCCTGACATAGAAACGCCTACTGCCCTGCCAGTAGGAGTGCGGGT